TGTTGAAAACACACCTAACTTGCACACACCACCTTAACTCACACGTGTCTGGAATCACCCAAGACACCTGTCAAGCAAACTCTAAGAGGGGATTCTACAACCTTGCGTAGCATGGGATCGAATTTATATTGCGCTCTCTAAGGGGTGCCTCCCCTCTCGGTCTCAACCGGAAACACCCATGCCCCCGGACCAGGTGGCCTGCCTACCAGCTACAGCCGGTATCTTCCACCCAGGCCTCTTTGTACGGTGTGTGCTAGGAAGAGGTTGACAACTTACTGATTTGTACTCTACTTGTTGTAGAGACGAGTGGTAGTACGAAACAAGTATGGGGGTTACTGGAACAAGACTCGATCTATGGTCGACTCAGGAGGTTTAGGTATTCCCTGCATGATTAACATAACGAAAATATTTCAACCAACAGAGTCAACGCTCATATTACCTTACCATGCCATACCAGACATAACCATCCCGACGGAGACCGGCGACAAACTCATGCCTACCCAAGGCAGAGGTTTTGCCGGGTTCCTCCCAGTATGCATGCAAGGCACATGAGGATGATCATCATCACAAGTGTGATCATTTCCAACAGCATGGAAATCACAAATATGCATCCATGCACATGACCATCTCACATGAAATAACAATTTCTCCAAAAAAAAGAGGTAGTGTGATAAATGTGTCAACGAACACTCAAAAATATCATGCCAGGGTTCAGAATGCTTGCCTTCAGTTCAAGGGAAGGCAGGGTGCATTTCAACCTCTTGAAATATTTATCCTTCCTTCAAAATCCTATTTTAAACATATAAAAGAATTAACACACAAAAATAAAAATAGCACAAAAAGATGTTTGGAAATTTTTTCAATTAAATCTTAAAATAAACTAGATCAAATTTGAGAGAGGTAGTAAAAAGAATTAATTCATTTGGAGTCATATTTAAAAAGATAAAGCCAGTCAAAGATTTGGTCAAAATCTGTTTTTAATAATAAACAGAAAAGAAAACGCTTCGGGCAGATTACGCCTTCAAAACGGGGAGACGTACTCGGGGTCTTTACGCTTCCACTTAAACGCGTGGAGGCGGGGCTGGGTCACTGACAGTGGGTCTAGGGGGCCCACTCGTCAGGTTTGACGAGTCCCCACTCCCTCCTCTTCTCTGCCCGAGCAGGGCGGGGTGTCCGGCGATCGTCGCCGGAGAACAGCGTCTTTCGCGGGCATCTAAGAGCAGGGATGGATCTGCCACTCCTAGGCGGTCCTTCCGGTGGCCGCAGGGTCGCCGGAGGTGGAGGGAGTCGCCGGTGGCGAGCTTCGCGGCGGAGGGGGCTTCGGGAACAAAGTGATTTTTGGGCTGCGGTGGTCTCTGACCAAAATTGATCGAGGGGTTGCACTTGCGAGAGGGAGGGAGAGTTCTTGGTGGGGAGATTGGAGAGGGAGAGGCCCTGGTGGCGACGGAATCGACCGAGGCTTAGCGGCAACCAAACTGGCCAGACTCGGGGAAGAAGGCCTTCCCCTCCTCGAATGCTGGCCAGGGTAGCTCTAGGAGGATCACTGGAGGTTGATCGAGGACTTGATTGAGCTCCGGGGCCCTTATATAGGAGGTGGAGGTCGATTCGAGGCGGCCGGCGATAAGGACGACGGCGAACCGCCTCCCTATAGCGTCAGGGCATCGTGGTGACGACGGTAGCTAGCCAACGTGCGAGGGGATAAGCTTGCGTTGTTCACAGGGGCAGGTGGCGAGCCGGGGTAGCTTGGGCGGCGCTGGCCTGAGCAGGGCTGTCGGGCGGCCGTGGCGGCTAGTCCTTGGCTTGCCGGGGACGCGGCAAGGCTCTGCTTGGCGCGTTGCGGTGAGGGGGAGCATGTAGCACGCAAGGGGACACGGCGTGCCGGCTGCGGTCGGTCACGGGCTGGGGTGAGTGCGGGGCGTGACGCGGCGGCTCGGGCGCCGCTTGTGCAATACGCGCGCTCTGGGCGCGTCCAGTGCACGCACGGAAGGTGTTCGACACAATGCCGTGGAATGCTACAGGTCACAGGTGAGGTTGGCAAGCAACATAACTAGGCTAGTGATAGAGGGAAGCTCAAGGGACACGGTGGTTGGGTCAGGTTGTCATGTTCATAGTGTATACTTGAGATCATGCCAAATCAGTCCATGCACTCCAGGTGTTTGTCAAAATGCCAAAGGCACCTAGGCTATTCTTGGAGGGGCCAAATCTTCCAGATCAGTGTCTCCTTTGATGCACAAGAAGCTTGTGAGGTTAATTGGTGAAAATCACAAACTTGCTAGTGCAAGTTTTGCAGAACTTCAAATCTGGACAGGATGTGAGTGGCATTATTTCATGAACCAAAAATATGCCAATGGTTGCATGCTCCTGGACTTAGGGGTTTAGCATGGAGGACTACAAGTAGGAGAAGGAATCTAGGGCCAAAGAGTAAGCAATAATAGGGATGCTGTACAAACCATCATGATGGACCAGAATGAAGATTAGGTTGATTCACTCAAAATTTTCAAAGAACATCCTTGGATCTTTGCATATAATGGAATCATATGCTGCTACTGACATCCCATAATTTTGGTGGGGGCTCTAGGGAATTATTTAAATGGGTTGAAGTGCTAAACTGACCACTGGACCAGAGAAGAAAAACAGGCACAAAACTCATAATATGCAATGAAATAGATATATAATTGCACATAAATGATTTTGAGACCTCACATAGTGTCTCCAAATTTTGGTTGAATTTTTAGCTAAGTTTATCAACTGGTTGAAGTAGAAAAAGAGCTCCAAAACTCAAACAAGTCATTTTAATGATTAAAGCTCAGGGTGAACTAATCTAATAAATAAACCTACTGATTTAGAAATAGTTATACAAAGAGCATAGAAGTTTAATATTTTGGAGAGATCCACTAAATAAAAAATAATTATTATCCTCTATATTAAAAGAGATGCTCTGAACTCCACAGAAATAATCCAAAAGGAAAATTTTAAAAACTCCTGGAAAAATTTTAATTTCCAACAAAAATTTTGGTTACATTTTTGGGGTGTTACACCTCCCCACCCCCCTGCGACACCGAGCCTGGAACGAGCCGGAGCAGGCGGCGACGCGGCGTGCCACGGAGCCGCATGCATAGGCGAGTCCATCACACCCCGTCGCCTCCCTTTCTATCTTAGGGGTGTGGCTCTGGGGTTGTCTGTGTCCTATTGTTAGAAAAATAGAATGTCCACACTACGCCTGTCAATGAAGCACACTGTGTGCGTTAGTGCGAGGCCGAGCAGGGGGTAGGGAGGGGGGTCGTGACCCCCTCCCTGCCCCCTGCGAGGCCGAGCCTGGAATGACCCGGAGCAAGCGATGACGCGGCATGCCGCGGTGCCGCATGCGTAGGCGAGTCCGTCACACCCTGTCGACTCCCTGTCAATCAGACGGGTGTGGCTCTAAGGGTGCGTGTGTCATATTGTTGGAAAAACAGAATGTACGCACTACGCCTGTCAACCAAGCGCACTACATGCATTAGCACGAGGCCGAGCAGGGGCGGGGAGGGGGGTCGTGACCCCCTCCCCACCCCCCTGCGAGGCCGGGCCTCGAACGAGCCGGAGCAGGCAGAGACGCGGCATGCCACGGCGCCACATGCGTAGGCGAGTCCGTCACACCCCGTCGCCCCCCTGTCACACCCCGTGTGCCTATCAGCCAAGCCAGCATGTGACGTGGGATTGTGTCGTTGTATCCAAGTGAAAAGATTCGCCTAGTGGAGCAGGCGGTTTGACTCGGGCTAGCCGTTGTGGTGTTCTGCATATTTTTAGGTGAGTGGGTATTGGAGTTACTTGCTCATTGTGCGTCGTTGGGCTTTTGTTTGATTTGGGCTGCGAGAATTTGTTGGGTCCGTTGTAGTGTAAGGCGCATTGGGCTCAAGTCGGCCTGTGAGCGCGGCTGGTTCCTGGTGCGCTATGTGTGCGCTCTAATATTTAGTCCCACCTCGCCTGCGGAGACCGCGCTCGACCTGTTTATAAGCATCGGTGATGCATATCTGTCGAACTCCTCTTGTTACTTATGTGGGCACTTATACACGACGCTCGCTGCTCTACGCTCTCTGACCTGTGGGCCCTTGTGTGCCCAGCCCCATGCATTGTGGCTCAGAACAGCTCGCCTACTGTGGGTGCAGACCTATTACGGGACTGGCTGGGGCATGGTTGCAGCTAGGTGGTCAATTTGTTTCCTTATCTGAAGCATGTTTTCCTTTTTGGTGTATATATATTTCGTGGTAGTACAAATGATGTCATTTGTACTGCTTGCACCAACGTTGAGTACTGCACTGTGCGTAGCAAGTCTGTGTGTTGTGCACCGCACGAAAGTTTCTGCGGCCCATCTCGTTCTACATTTATGCATGTACTGCACTTCATGTATACACTTTGTGAACTGCCTTATATTTGTTCTGTGAACTGTATTCACATTTGTGTAGAATGATCTGTGGATTATATTTTTTTAGAAATATTAATATTAATGTTCTTTTTTCTGTAATTACTATTTGTGCACTGCATGTGGACACATGTGTACTACTTATTTTTACCATTGTGAACTGTATTAATCTTTTCTTTTTTAGGTATGAGTTGTAGTCAGATTACTTAATTTTTTTGCTTAACATTGTTTTTGAATATGTTTTGTATGTGAATAGTATGTTTTGATATCACACATTAAATTTTTCAAAGTTGTCTAGATACTTGTTCTAATACAAACTAACTTCTGCGAAAGCAATTGATCACAATAAAACTGACATTGTTTTTACAAAAGAAATGTTCGATATGAAGCAACGGACATCATCAAAAGCTTGCATACATGAAACAAAGAACAACAAAACGACTAAAGTAAAGTGAAACTAAACATAGCCCTGATTATTTCTAGTTGTTGTATTGGATTACAGCCTTGTTCTTCTTCTTTGCTTCTTTGTCTCTTTTTGCCCTGTCCACTCCCATTATGACATCGTAGATGATTCTCCATGACTCATATGTTGCGAATGCATCTATTGCTGCATACTTGATAAGCTTTTCTGACAACGGGAAAAATCCCCACAAAGTATGGTCCTCCTTGCGGTTAATTTTTTCTTCATGTCATGGTAGTGAATGTCTATCATCCTGTCGGCAACATCAGCCAAAGAGTCAAACTTCTTTTTATTGTATGGGTCTCTCCATTCCACCTGAATATCAATGTAGTTGTCGGAGTTGATCTCGAAACCAGATACCTTCATCTTGTTTTTGTCTCCTTCAATGGCGAATCCGACGAAGGTGTACTCATCATTCATGAGGAATTTGTCTAGTTCCATTGGACTGCAATATTTTTGTGTAGAGTGAATATAGTTTATTTCTTAGAACTACCAATGTTTTTTTTGTTTTTCTGAAACTGAACTGCAATATGAATATCTGAATATGTTGCATTGAGCAGTTGATAATACTTTGTTCAACATAACTAGTAAATCTGATAATAGATTGCATAAACAATGCATGTTTTATGCATGCTTGTATTCTTGAACTGAATTTCATACATGTTCTGTATAGTAATGTTGCAGTTTTCTATTGTTTGGCCAAATAATTTGTATTTGGTAAAAACAAAATAAAACTGTGTGTATTGCAAGATCATATAATTCAAGAATTGAACACATGAGTGACATACATGGAGCCAGATGAAAACTTTCATTGAATTCATATGTCATTCTTTTCAAAAATGAGAACCAAAGTTTAAATATTTGGCAATTGTAGTGAAGAAAATTTAAAATCAATATTGACAAGCAATAGTATAGATTGATAGTTATTCTGACATGTCTTTAGCTGCAGAGATGTGGTAGACAAGGCATTCTTTTTCTACGCATAGCTGGAGCACTGCTGCCGTTGTGGCTTCACATAGTGCCTGTACTCGACATCAACGCCGACTAGTTTGACGGGCATTCCATCGAGCTTCCTCCTGAACGTTGACAGCATCTTGTCCACGTCTTCACCCTTGCTTGTGCAAACGACGTGGAGCTTGTGGTTGCCATGGAGGTCAACGTCGGGGAGCTCCCTGGTGTACGTGTGGCGCTGCTTGTACAGAGGTGCATCCACCATGACTCTCCTCTGCTCTCTCGTGTTTGTTCTGGAGAGAGAGGTTAGTGAAAGGAAGTGTGGAGAAGAAGATGCAATGGGGTTTTTGGGGGGACGAAGCAGTTGTGTTTTCTCCTCTGCTCTCATCTGCTCTCCTTGACAGGACGTGGGAGAGGTGGAGCGGGGCGGTAGCATGGTGGGGCACTGTTTTAAGTTATGTGGCAACTGCAGAGAGGTTTTGCTATGAGGAGGCTTTGTTAGTGTGTTGGAAATCCGGAACGTTGTCGCCTCTTTTTTCGTGACTAGTTCAAGGTATTCACACAACTGTCAGAAAATGTGATGATTGTGTTTTTGGTGAATTTTCCAAGTCAATGCACTTCTTTGCTATCAGCACAGAACTGCGTATGTCCACATAGTGTACTGCATTGAAGTGAAATTTATTCTTCATACATTGAATTATATCGGTTAGGATTCACACAGATGTACGCACATTTAGTTTTTTGATGGAGTTCTTTCTTTTCTTCTCTTTTTTTGGTGGTAATACAGCTTTTGTGTGGATGGAGGGTAGTGTGGGTAGGGGTGTCGGACTTCTTTGCTTAAGTAACACAAATGCATTCTTCATTTTAGCCATACTGCATTACAGAGTGAAGAGAACTGCAATTCGGAAAAAAAAGAATACTTCATGCTTCCACGTGGAGAACTACATTGTTGTACGTTGCAGACTGCATTTGTACGTTGACTTCGGTCTTCCTGGGTTTTATTTATTAATAGTGAACTGTAGTTTCTGGCAGTGCCGACGCACATTTTTGTTGTTGTTGTTATTCATTTAAAAAATGTTTCTCATTTTTCTTTGATGTTTTATTTTTGAACTTATTGTTTTTTCTTAGTGGGCCTTGTTGGCCCTGTGTTCGGGTAGTGAAGACGCATTGGGCCCAAGTCGGCCTGTGAGCATCGCTGGTTCCCGGTGCGTTGTGTGCGGCCTAATGTTTAGTCCCACCTCGCCTGCGGAAGACGCCCCCGGCCTGTTTATAAGCGCTGGCGAGGCCGCCGTATCGAACTCCTCTGGTTACTTATTTGGGTGCTTATACACGGCGCTCGCTGCACTATGCTCTCTGACCTGTGGGCCCATGTGTGGCCTGCCCCATGCATTGTGACTCAGAATGACTCACCTTCTATGGGCGCAGACCTACTACGACACTGGCTGGGACCGGTTGCACCTGGGTGGTCAATTTTTTTTTCTTTGTATTTTTCTATCTTTAGTATTTTTTTCAATGTCGAGGCGTGCACTACTTTTAGTAAATCATGCGTGCACTGCATTGATCAGGGTTCTGTATTGCATGTGCATGCATTCCGTACTGCATGTATTGGAGTGCATGCAGTTCTCTTTTTTGTTTTTGTGTTTTTGCTCATATGTAAATTTTTTTCCAATGTATGAGAGTGCACTGCATTGATTATGTTTTTGTACTGCACTTTCATATATTTCCGCACTACATATATAGGTCGCATTTTTCTTTTTGTGTTTTTGCTCTTATGTATTCTTTTTTCAAATTTAGGGGCATGCACTGCTTTTTTGGGTATGTGTAAACTTCATTCGACAGAGTCTGTACTGCATTTGTACACAATTTGCACTGCATGCATCCTATTTGCACACTGCATCTTATTTTTCGTTTTGTGCACTGCTCAAATCTAATGATACATAAGCAAACAATAGAAAAAAAATATCACAAGCATTATGTACGACAAGTTCATCACCAGCAAACTAAGTTGAACAGAAAGTTCAGCACACAAGCGATTCTGCATGGCAAGCACACTAAGTTCAGCACACAAGCAAACTAACGATACATAAGCAAACAACATAAAGAAAATTTGATGATAATTCTAAAACAATGCTTGCATTGTTGGCTCATGGCTGGCACCATCTTCTTCTTCACCAGTTAGCGTCTCCCCATCCCCAGCTGCTCCTGGCGCGCTTCTTGGGGGGCTCCTTCTTCTCCAGCTTTGCACGGTGAAGCCTGTCTTGGGTGAGGGTGATGCGGTTCCATATCTCATACGCTATGTAGGCGTCCTTTTCCGCGTACTCGATGTGCCTCATGGACAGAGGCAGGATGGCCGAGCGCTTGTGTTCATCGTCGGTGATCTTCTTCTTCATGTTTTTGTAGTAGTCGTCGATGAGCATGCCGGAGACGTCTCCAAGGGAGTCCAACTCCTTGGTTGCCTCGGACACCCTCCACTCCTTCTGGATGTCGACGAAGTTGGCGACCTTCAAATTGACGCACGCTAGCCTAGTTTTGTCGCCGTCGATGGAGAAGCCTGCAAAGGTGTACCTAGGGTCGGCAAGGAAGTTGTCAAAGACGGTGCACCTTTCAGCGGTGCTCATTTGGAAGAGCAGCTGCGGGTGATTCTTGCCGATGGAGAGTTGGCAGAGGGCGGGTTTCTGCGTCGCTTCAGGCTCGTTGTTGTACTCGAGATCAATGCCGACGATCTTGTGGCGCTAGAGGGTGAGGTAGCGCTCGTACTGCGCGAGGGAGATCGCCATCTGCTTCTTGTCGTTAGTGTGGATGACATGCAACTTGGTGTTGCCGTGGGCCTCCACGGCCTTGTCTCCCTTGTACTCGTCGGTGAACGCCATCGCCGGTAGTAGGGCTTGGTATTTTTGCGTGGATATGGAGCGATTTGGTGGCAGCACAATGGATACTTGTGTTGTTATGGATGAGAAGGCCTTTGGCAGGGGTCTGGATTTAAGGGGAGGGCGTCTTGCTATGTCTTGAGCTTGTGTTGGTTTTCCTTGAAGAGGAAAGGGTGATGTAGCAATAGTAGCGTAAGTATTTCCCTCAGTTTTTGAGAACCAAGGTATCAATCCAGTAGGAGGCTCCTCAAAAGTCCCACGCACCTACACAAACAAACAAAGAACTCGCAACCAACGCAATAAAGGGGTTGTCAATCCCTTCACGGCCACTTGCGAAAGTGAGATCTGATAGAGATAGTATGATAAGATAAATATATTTTTGGTATTTTATAATATAGATTGGAAAAGTAAAGATGCAAATAAAAGTAGATTGAAAGCTTACATGATAAGAGATAGACCCGGGGGCCATAGGTTTCACTAGTGGCTTCTCTCATGACAACATAAGTATTACGGTGGGTGAACAAATTACTGTAGAGCAATTGATAGAAAAGCGAATAATTATGAGATTATCTAGGCATGATCATGTATATAGGCATCATGTCCGCGACAAGTAGACCGACTCCTGCCTGCATCTACTACTATTACTCCACACATCGCCCGCTATCCAGCATGCATCTAGAGTATTAAGTTCATAAAGAACAGAGTAATGCATTAAGAAAGATGACATGATGTAGAGGGATAAACTCATGCAATATGATATAAACCCCATCTTTTTATCCTCGATGGCAACAATACAATACGTGCCTTGCTGCCCCTTCTGTCACAGGCAAAGGACACCGCAAGATTGAACCCAAAGCTAAGCACTTCTCCCATTGCAAGAAAGATCAATCTAGTAGGCCAAACCAAACTGATAATTCGAAGATACTTGCAAAGATAACTCAATCATACATAAAAGAATTCAGAGAAGATTCAAATATTTCTCATAGATAAACTTGATCTTAAACCCACAATTCATCGGATCTCGACAAACACACCACAAAAAGAGTTACATCGAATAGATCTCCAAGAAGATCGAGGAGAACATGGTATTGAGATCCAAAAAGAGAGAAGAAGCCATCTAGCTAATAACTATGGACCCGAAGGTCTGTGGTAAACTACTCACAACTCATCGGAGGGGCTATTGTGTGATGTAGAAGCCCTCCGTGGTCGATTCCCCCTCCGATGGAGCGCCGGCGGAGGCTCCAAGATGGGATCTCGCGGATACAGAAGGTTACGATGGTGGAAATAGTTTTTCGTCGTCGCCTTTGATGTTCTTGGGGTACGTGGGTATATATAGGAGGAAGAAGTAGGTCGGTGGCTGCCCGAGGGGCCCATGAGATAGGGGCGCGCCCTCCACCCTCGTGGCCGCCTCGGCTGCTTCTTGACTTGCACTCCAAGTCCTCTGATCACGTTCGTTCCAAAAATCACGCTCCCGAAGGTTTCATTCCGTTTGGACTCCGTTTGATATTCCTCTTCTTCAAAATACTGAAATAGGCAAAAAAATAGCAATACGGGTTGGGCCTCCGGTTAGTAGGTTAGTCCCAAAAATGATATAAATGTGTAAAGTAAAGCCCATAAACATCCAAAATGGGTAATATAATAGCATGGAACAATCAAAAATTATAGATACGTTGGAGACGTATCAAGCATCCCCAAGCTTGATTCCTGCTCGTCCTCGAGTAGGTAAATGATAAAAACAGAATTTTTGATGTGGAATTCTACCTAGCATATTTCTCAATATAATTTTCTGTATTGTGGAATGAATGTTCAGATCCAAATGATTCAAAATAAAAGTTCATATTGACATAAGAACTAGTAATACTTCAAGCATACTAATCAAGCAATCATGTCTTCTCAAAATAACATGGCCAAAGAAAGTTATCCCTACAAAATCATATAGTTTGGCTGTTGCTCTATCTTCATCACACAAAGTATTTAATCATGCACAACCCCGATGACAAGCCAAGCAATTGTTTCATACTTTAGTAATCTCAGACTTTTTCAACTTTCACGCAATACATGAGCGTGAGCCATGGACATAGCACTATATGTGGAATAGAATGGTGGTTGTGGAGAAGACAAAAAGGGAGAAGCTAGTCTCACATCAACTAGGCATATCAACAGGCTATGGAGGTTCCACATAATAGATATCAATGTGAGTGATTAGGGATTGCCATGCAACGGATGCACTAGAGCTATAAATGTATGAAAGCTCAACAAAAGAAACTAAGTGGGTGTGCATCCAACTCACTTGCTCACGAAGACCTAGGCCATTTTGAGGAAGCCCATCATTGGAATATACAAGCCAAGTTCTATAATGAAAAATTCCCACTAGTATATGAAAGTGACAACATAGGAG